GTATAAACATAAAAAAATGTCATATATATATATATATATATATATATATATATATATATATATATATATATATTAGATAGATAGATAGATAAATAGATAGATAGATATAGATAGATATATATGGTGGAACGTCTCTTTTCTGTGTGTGTGTGTGTGTGTGTGTGTGTGCGTGTATGTGAGTGTGTTTCTTTCAATATAATACAAATCATCCTTTGGTTTGAGAAATTCAGTAGAAACCAAGCGAAAACAAACAGCATCTTCAAGCGCATGCGCAAACACATTTAAACAGAGCGTTGAATTTTTGATAATTAACACATGGACAATGAGCTGTGATTGAATCATTGCAGAATTCGAAAGAAGGGAAAAACTTGCATCGAAGTGGAAATCGAAAACCTGAATGCGTAGCTCCGCATAAAAAATGTGTTTTTGACAGACTGAACCAATCAGTGAAAGGATATTTTTTTTTTACATTTGTCCTAAAAACCGTGAAGTTGCTCTCAGCTTCACTTACGATCCTTAAACAAACAGGAATAACACCTTCTGCCGTTGTTGAAAGGAAAATTCAGTGAATAAAATACATCAAATTACGAAATGAAACCATTATGGATGTGCGGATGGTGTAATAGTGAACGTCGCAGAAAGAGTAACAAGGCAGCCGAGTTCAAATACCTGTCTGGTAGGTTGAATTCACTTTCTCAAAAAAAAAAAAAGCACAAATTCAAATCTTTCAGTTATAAATAAATATCAGGATTGATTGGAGTTTATGTCTATATTTCTGAGATACATGGCACAGGAGATAAAGGCGTTAGTTAGATCCAGTGACAGGGCCCAAAGAATGTGAGTTCAATACCCGGTTAAGGCAGTGGAGAACTTTCCCCAAAGAGTGTGAGTTAAATACCTGGTTAAGGCGGTGGAGAACTTTCAGAGGGAAATTAATAGGAGATAACTGACATCCATTAAACATGGCACATGGAACTAGAACAATCTACCCCAGTGAGCGAAATAAAGGGTTCAGTTCGACATTCCAACCACCTGAAGAAGGCCGGAGCGTAAAAGTTACTTAGGAATAGGTCGCCATTGCTTTTCTCTAGCATTCCCAGAAAAAAGGTACTCAAGCCTAAAGGCATTAATAGCACAGGATCGCTATAAATAATTAGGGGAATTAGAATGTGACTCAATAAAGCAGGATGAACTCAACGTGAGAAATAAGAAAGAAATATCCAGGGGAGATAATTCGGAGGAAAATACTTGAAGTTAAATTAAATGGCAGAAACCTGACAAAAAAAATAAAAAAAAAATAAAATAAACATCTAGACGGTATCGATAGGGAAGAATAGGGAGATATTTTCGTCTAAGATAAAGAAGAATTGATCTGAATGGATCAACAAAATAGCGGACTCATGACCATTCAAAAAGCACGGCATCCTTATTATAACAAAGATTAGATGTACAAAGAAAGGTTGGTGGAGCAGGACACATGGGCATTGAATACTGGAGTCAAATGACTAAAATGCAAATGGATAAATTAATAAAAAAAAGAGACAGAGATAGTATCTCAAACATGCGTATTCACTAAAAAAATATCGTTTATAGTAATAAGAAATAATGTCAAATAAAGAAAATCCTTTCAAGAATTAATGTTGCTTACATTTCGGGTTCGTAGTGTGAGCGTTGTCTTCATGACGTTTGTCCTAAAAGAAGATATTCACTAACCGCCCCACCCGGTCGGATGTGGCACAAGGCCAAGTTTATTGTGGGCTGGTCCGAAAGGAATAATATTTATTCGTACAATAGTACAAAATGTGGCACAGGGCCGAAAAGAGGGGTTGTGGGAAAGGGCGGTCTTCTGTCTTAATTTTTAAACTTAGCTAGTCACAGAGACGTACCCAAACACACCAACAATAGTCCTATCACCAAAACAACACATTCTCTCCTACCTTTCTTACTACATCCACCATAATACCTCAATGTCCCTATGAAATCCTAACTAGTCCCCATATGTACATTTCGAAGTCTGTGGGGGGAGGGGAATAAAAACAACAATTAAAAAAAAACAATGATTATTTACAATATGAATTAAATACTATTTACATGAAAACAAAACAAAATAGGGTTAATAATACCCCCTCCCCCCAAATCCCAAAATGTGGCAGAAACATCAGTTAACTTGCGGGATTATAATAGTATAAAAACACAATCACCCGTCCAAAAACACTCACACAAACACGTACTCATTCATTCACAACAACAAATACTAAAAAAACACACACACGAAATGAAAGGCAACCCGCAACAACCAGAGAACTGACATCACTGACCACCTAAAAGAAGGAGGGGTGGGAAATTAAACTAAAGAAAAATAGAGACAGAAATAAAAGGGGCCAATGAGCATACATACCCTAGCTAAGTTAACCGGAAAACTGGAAACTAAAGATTTAAACTAAAACCTACACTAGCCTAATATCTATTACATTTACTTACGTACTAATACCCTTGGGAAAGGTATGAATCCTCTTTTTCTCCCCACCTCCAGCTAAGGGTAAATCGCAGGTCAGACCGGGTTCTATAGCCTTGCATGGCAACTGGTCTACCGCAGAAAGAAATGGCAAACTACTCCGGGAAAAAAATCTGCCTCGTCACTTATGTATCGAAATATACATGATCGCCTAGGCGTGTATCACGTATGGCACATAACTGACTGAATGAGGAATCGGAGGGCCGAGTTCGGATTCCAGTCGAATCTATTACATTCACTTACGTTCTAATACCCATGGGAAAGGTATGAATCCTTCTCCTGCCATTTATGGGTAAATAGCAGGACCTACCGGGTTCTACAGCCTTGCATGGCAATTGGTCTACCGAAGAAAGAAATGGCAACCTACTGCGGGAAAAAATCTGCCTCGTCACTTATGTATCGAAATATACATGATCGCTTAAGCGTGTATCACGTATGGCACATAACTGACTTTTTTCTTTTTTTGGTTTTTCCATTGCAGTTACTATGTTTGCCTGTACGGTGGTTTTTCTAACTGGGAAAATTTAGAAGACATTTGATGAGAAATCCTACCCTAGGTCGCAATCGGCAATCTGTTGCAATTTTCTAATCGCTTGAACCTTTAAGAACCTTCTTCCTCTGTCGACTGCCGTGGTTGGGCCGGAGTAATAGATTGATGCTTCTTGGCTTCCTTACTCATTTATCTACTAACGTCTTATTCATTTACCCTCTCTTAGAATACCCCACCGAGGGATTCCGCTAAAAATAAAAACAAAAACAACGAGAGCAGCTAAAAAATATGTACGCCATAGCACTCACACATCCAAACTTACAGCACCTGGTATTACAAGCAATTACCCATGTAGGTACTGGCCAGGATCGACGTAGCTCATCTTCAGTGATCGTACTAAAATCTGTGCTTCAATGTGATATGGCCCTAAGCCATAGCACTCACATATCCTAGCTTACAGCACCTGGTATTCCCAAGCTGTTACCCATGTAGGTAATGGCCAGGATTGACGTTGCTCAACTTCAATGATCATACAAAAATCTGTGCTTCAATGTGATAAGGTCGTAAGCCATAGCACTCACACATCCAAGCTTACAGCACCTCGTATTCCCAAGCGGTTATCCATGCAGATACAGGCCAGGATATACGTTGCTCAACTTCGGTGATCGTACTAAAATCTGTACTTTAATGTGATATGGCCGTAAGCCATAATGTCCACATATCCAAGCTTACTGCATCTGGTATTCCCAAGCGGTTACCCATGTATTTACTGACCAGTCTCGGCGTAGCTTAACTTTGATGATTGTACGAAAACCGGTGTTTCAACGTGATACGGCCGCGATACAGCTACAAGAGTACTTGGGCTACGTGCAAATGCAGGGAAGGCAATGTTTCGAGTTAACACTGACATTTTCTATATATAGGATTTAAGAAAAAAAAAAAAACTCAATTTTTGTCTTTGATAAACTGACGATAGTGTTTATGTCCCCATTCACATAAATAAAAGTAGTAAATACTGTATGTTGGTCTGCAGTTGGAGAGTGGTCTCCCGCTGTTTCAGTCAATCTCTCTGCCCCCGGGCAGAGAGGATCCACAAACGAGGCTACGTCGAAGGGCAGAGACTCGTCTCGGGAAACAGCTACCCGACACCGTTTATACTTCGGCCGTGTGTCACATCTGACGGCATGGGGCGGTTGGTAGATATCCTGCATTTGGGGATTCGTCTCCCGCTGTGTTAGTCAATCTCTCTGCCTCCGGGCAGAGAGGATCCCCAAACGAGGCTACGTCGAAGGTCAGAGTCTCGTCTCGGGAAACAGCTACCCGACACCGTTTATAGTTGGTCTACGGGGAATTTTAGGTCGATCCTACGGTCTTGGAGACCCAACATTATATTCGGCCTTGTGCCACATCTGACCGCGTGAGGCGGTTAGTAGATATCCTACAATTGGAAATTCATTGTGGAATTCACTTGATTCACTTCTAGCGATTGACTACTTCTTCTACGCGCCGCTGGCGAATCTTATATGTGTTGTTCTTGTCCGAAGTATTATCGTTAATTACCAACCTTCGTATGATTATTCTATTCAGTAATCTTCCCTAGGTTACAACAGACTTGATATGCTGCGTTGAAATAATAAAACTATAGCCAACAAAACAATACAGAGAAGGTCACAACGACGGCCACGACAATGAAAGCTAATAATTTTACGTATAATAATAATAATAATAATTAGAACAACAGCTATAATTTTTTTATATTTTTCTTAATTTCATAGTGGTTAATATTGTTCTTATTTAACAAGAGACGCAAAGAAATTGGCGCTTCGCTGAATCCGCAATGAAGTTCAGTGTTATTCGCTCATGCATTGTTTTGTAATTGTAAATAGCTATCCGTTTTCTTCAGCCAGTTGAAAATTAATTGCATTAAAAGAAAAGGGCTTCAGGCTTGTGATTTGGCACGAGTGTATCACTAGACAGAGAAAAGTTAGTGGTTATTCAATCGCCATTTTGATTTCGTGCGTCATGCAATTTGAATAAAAGAGATTCGGGGAGAAAGAGAGAGAGAGAGAGAGAGAGAGAGAGAGAGAGAGAGAGAGAGAGAGAGCAATGTATCGAATGCGTCTCCTTAAGAGACAAAAATGGCGGATGTATATGAAACAGCTATTATTCGTCCCTGCCGTGACTACTTCTTGTATAAATGCATGAAAGCAGCTCTAACTACTAACAGAGATTTCACCTTCTGCCGTTTCTGTTCGGCTGAGGGCCAGTAGTGCTTAAATAGTTCGTACTTTGTGGAGCGAAGACGGAAATATATAACAAGACACTCAAACTCCATATGACAAAAAAATGGTTGTCTAAATCGGAGAACTGCGCCTTCTTCCGGTTTATAAATTAATACTTTGAAAATAAATATAAACATTTTTCAACAAACTGGTTGCGACCCCCCCCAAAAAAATAACAAGCATAAAACATGCTTTGTGATCCCTTTGAAGTGTATATAAGTAGCCCACGCCTTAAGGAAATACAAAAAATTGTACCCACAAGTATAGCTCGCACATTACGAAGAGGTTTATCTATATAAAATGTGTGTGATCTTAGTTTTTTTTTTAACAAGAAAATGTGTAAACAACAGAAATCAAAAGAAATAATAATAATAATAATAATAATAATAGTAATGGAGTGTTGAAAAGGCTATGAAACAAGACTGTAGAAGTAATTCCTGTAATAGTACGTGCACTAGGAACATCGCCTTGATGCTTGAAGAAGCACTGAAGGAAAATTGAAATTGAGACCAAAATTAAACACTTCCAGAAAACTCTCAATTTATACTCCGACAATTCTTCGAAAGGTTTTTAATTTGCGAGGAATCTTAAGAAACAAAAATTCACAAATTTTCTCTTAAGTTGGTGACAAACGTCACCAACATAAGAGACAATTCTTCATGGACTAAATTAGGACAACCTAGTGCTATTATGTCTAATACTAAGTTTTGATTTATTTATTTTTTACGGCTTATCAACCCTTTCCAGGTTATTTAAAGCCAGAAAATAGTTTTAGATTGTAAGAACTGTATTGGAGATAAAAATGAATAGTGGTACAAGTCTTACTAATTAACACATAGCTAGGAGTGTGTGAGGTGGATTCATACTTATCCATTGGATCATCCACACATCCAAGTTTTCAATACCTCACAAATAATGAACTAGTCCGTTTTGGTTGCGTAGAGAAACAAGAGGTATGAAGAAAGAAAGAAAGAAAGAAAGAAAGAAAGAAAGAAGGAAGGAAGGAAGAAAGAAGCGATTGAGGCTGTTTCAGTGAAATGGAAAAAGTTGTCAATTTCAAATTTTTTTCATTTGTACCCACTTCTTAAAATAACGACCAGTGTTCATATAGACTCAATAAAAGGAATACTGGTAGTCCATGCCTTAAGAAATACAAAAACTTGTACTCACAAGTACAGCTCACACATTACGAAGACCGTTATCTATGTAAAAGATGTGTGATCATTTTTTCTTTTTTTTTTTTTTTTAAAAATGAATCATTTCTGACCTTAGGTCTCTGGTTGGGGTCCGGAAGGAGGAAATGCGTATAAAACAGATATCAAAAGAAGTAATAATAATAACAATAACAATAATAGTAGTAGTAGTAGTAATTGAGGGTTGAAAAAGCTACGGAAGAAGACTATAGAAGTAATTCCTGTAGTAATACGAGCACTTAGAACATTGCCTTGATGCTTGTGGAAGCATTGAAGGAAAACTGAAATTGAGACCACGATTATACACCTCCAGAAGACTATCAATTTATTCTGCGAGAATTCTTCGAAAGATTCTTAATTTGCGAGGAATCTTGTTGGCGCCATGTCTCAAAATGGTATGAACAACATCCAGACCTGGTTATATAACTGTGGAACTTTACAATACACAAATACAGAACAATCAAAGCTAATCGCCCAGACATCGTGATAACAAAATACAAAAACAAATTGCGTTTTCTTATTGACATGAGAATCCCCGCAGATCTTCAAAATGCAAGGATCTTGAAGTAGAAATCTCAACAATGTGGCATATGAGGACATCAATAATTCCAGTTGTAGTTGGAGCCCTCGGATTAATTGGAAATGGTTCCGATACACTCAACTGACATATCACGAAGGACTTTATCTATGTAAAATGTATGTGATCTTATGTATTTTTTTTTTAGAAACATGATCAAATGGCAAATATCATGAAGCTATTTCTGACCTTAAGTTCTCCAGTTGGGACACAGAATGAAATATTTATGCAACAGAAATAAAAGGAAATACTATTACCACTATCACCACTACTACTACAAATAATAATAATAATAATAATGACAAACAAAATCACAGACGTTACTCTACTAATATTTTTCAATTCTTAGAAAACAGAGTGATTCAGGATTATACCTATAATAATAATAATAAAAAACTTACAGGTAAGCAGATTAACAAGATTTTTGGTAGTCCCTCCATATAAGATCTTCAAATCCCCCTATCCACAAATTTAACTTGCATGACCCTATCCACAAATTTAACTTGCCTATCCCCTGTACTTAAATTTTACTTACCTGTCTCCTGTACTCAAATTTTATCTGTCTGTCCCCTATCCACAAAATTAACTTGCCTATCCCCTGTACTCAAATTTTACTAGGCTATTCCCTGTACTCAAATTCAACTTGTCTTTCCTCTGTCCACAAATTTAACTTGCCTATCCCCTTTACTCAAACTTAACTTGCCTATTCCCTGTACTCAAATTCAACATGTCTTTCCGCTGTCCACAAATTTAACTTGCCTATCCCCTGTACTTAAATTAACTTGCCTATTCCCTGTACTCAAATTCAACATGTCTTTCCCCTGTCCACAATTTTAACTTGCCTATCCCCTGTACTCAAATTTTATTTGCCTATTACCTGTAGTCAAATTTTACTTGCATCTCCCCTGTACTCAAATTAAACTTGTCTTTCTCCTGTCCACAAATTTAACTTGCCTATCCCCGGTACTCAAATTTTATTTGCCTGTTCCCAGTACTCAAATTTTACTTGAATCTCCCCTGTACTCAAATTCAAGTTGTCTTTCCCCTGTCCACAAATTTAACTTGCCTATCCCCTGTACTCAAATTTAACTTGCCTATTCCCTGTCCACAAATTTGACTTGCCTAACCCCTGTACTCACATTTTACTTGCCTGTCCCATGTACACAAATTTTACTAGCCTATTCCCTGTACTCAAATTCAACTTGTCTTTCCCCTGTCCACAAATTTAACTTGCCTATCCCCTATACTCAAATTGAACTTGCCTATTCCCTGTACTCAAATTTTACTTGCATCTCCCCTGTACTCAAATTCAACTTGTCTTTCCCCTGTACTCAAATTTTACTTGCCTGCCCCCTTGTACTCTAATTTCACTTGCCTGTCCTCAGTCCACAAATTTAACTTGCCTTTCCCCTACCCATAAAGTTAGAAGAAGCGAAAACACGTCTGCTTCAGTGCAATGGTAAAATTACATGAAATATGGCAGCCTGTAATTATTAGTGTCGACAATAAAACGGGCAAATTTCTATGGGTTAATCTTCACAAAGAAAAAGACGTCACGCCAATCTATTTGAAAAAAATATTATAACACGCTATGCGATATATAAAGATATGGTTATTTAATGAATGCATACAATTTCTCCTTCTTAAAATGTAAAGAAAATATGTTAAGTATAGACCTTTAAACCGAAGAATTTCTATGGGTCCAGCTAACCTTCTGAAACATTCCTAGAAAATCATGAAGTCACCTTTCTTTGGAACTTTAATATTTTGACAGACATTGTCATCAAAAACTACAATAAAAATGTCTTCTTATAGATATGGCATTGCCATCAAATTAAATTCTAATTATTAAGTGTTATATCATAATAAGGATTTTGAAATTCAATATGAACAAATATGTTATCTTAAACCTATTCTTACACATAAAAATTGGATTCCTGGATATGATAAAAAAAGGACAGGCAAGCACATTAACAAGATTTTTAGGAGTCCCACTTTATAAGATAAAAAAATCTGGCTCTGTGTGGAATTGCTCATCTACCCAGAAGTGCATTAACAATCTAACGAATGTATAAATAACAGACATGTTAAGTATTACTTGATTTTATGCAATCAAAATGTATATTTACTACCTTCTCTAAACCCCATTAGCTCTTCAGTAATAACTGGTAAGCTTTTGTAATAAACAGAAAAGAAAATATTATACTACTACTACTACTAATAATAATAATAATATAAGGGAATAAAAATTTCGTTGTAGATTTCGATTGGAAAAAAGGCTCCGATAGACGCATTGAAGGGATTCCTGGTAGCCTATGACTTAAAGAAATACAAAAAAAAAATGTACTCACAAGTACAGCTCACACAGGATTTTATCAAAGTAAAATGTCTGATCTTTATTTATTTTTATAAAAATGATCAGTGGAAGCCATTGTGAAGCTTAGGTCTCTGGTTGGGACCTGGTAAAATTTATGTACACAAAAGATCTCAAAGGAAATAATAATAATAATAATAATAATAATAATAATAAGCAGAAACAGTGATATAACTCTGTTAATATTTTTCAACACTTAGAGAACAGGGTGATTTAGGAAAATTCATACCTCAAACGGGCACTTGACCAAAACCATAATAATATTACTTGCTCGAATATTATTATTATTATTATTATTAACAATACTTAGAGAATAATGTCATATTTCTACAGTATGTCTGATATTCAAGTTATGTTTAATTTTTTTTCAAATAACTGACAATAACATAGAATATTTTAAGATAACTTAAAGAAGAGAGACATATTGTCTTTTCTTTTCCTTTTCTTTTCTTAAATGTCGTTATTCTCTAAGTGTTGTTAATAATAATAGTATTTGAGCAAATAATATTATTATGGAGTTGGTCAAGGTAAAAGTGACCGTTTGAGGTCTAATTATAACCAGTAGGAGTGGGCGTTACGGATAAAATTAGCCTACGAGAATCTCAACTTTGGTCATAAGATTCAGGTAGATATTTTAGTCATCTTGTATGCCGTCAAAGTGAGTAATGTTATTGCACCTTGATTCATGCTTCTGAGAAATACGGCGGTCGGAAGAATAGACTAGAAATGTCTGCTGAGATGAAACCTTTACATTATTGGCTTTTACATCGTCTTTTCTTCAATGTAGGCATTGTTTTTTTTATATATTGTTTGTGATCTTTTTGATCGGCATGTATTTGGAAGACCAAATTCTTCGGGATTTTTTTTACTGTAGGGAGCATCTGTTGAAAAATTTGCATATCACCTTCTAACTACAACGTCCTTTGGAAAAAAATCTCAATAAATCAGATTAAACTATTCGCAAACAGCTCGGGCAAAATGGATTAAAATTCTGCGCCGGAATAGATAAGGACACTGGTTCGAATCAATCATGTTAGAATGAAAATTTCAATATAATTCCTGACAACATTATGAAGCTCTAGAACGTATCAACTATCATGGAATTGTGGCAACAACAAAGATGAGGATACTAGCTTGAATAAATCGTGTAAATATGAAAACATTTTAAAAATTAATTAAACTCTTTGAAGGCTCGAGAATGTATCTGCCATGGTGTAATGATCGCAACAACAATGATGGGGATACTAGTTTGAATAAAACGTGTAAAAATGAAAACGTTTTAAAAAATTACTGGAAACATTTTGAAGGCTCGGGAATGTATCTGCCATTGTGTAATTATGGTAACAGCAAAGATGAGGATATTGGTTCTTATAAATCGTGTAAAAATGAAAGCTTAAAAAATACTGACACCGCTACCAAAACTCGCTAATGTATCTGCCATTTTATAATGATGGCAGTACAAAGATGAGGATATTGTTTCGAATAAATCGTTTAAAGTAAGAAATTTTGCATAATTTATGACAAGTCTATCAGGGCTCGAAAACGTATCTGCCATTGTGTAATTGTGGTAACAACAAAGATGAGGATATTTGTTCGTATAAATCGTGTACAAAAAAAGAAAGCTTAAAAAATACTGACAACACTATGAAAAGTCGAGAATGCATCTGCCATTTTGTAATTATGGCAATGCAAAGATGAGGATATTGGTTCGAATAAATCGTTTAAAATGAAAAATTTGACATTATTTATGACAAGACTATGAGGGCTGGAAAACGTAACTGCCATTGTTTAATGATGGGAGCCAAAAAAAAAAGTGGATACTGGTCCGAATAAATTATACAATAAAGAAAACATTGTGTATAATTTCAGATCACTCTTTG